GTACAGCAAAGCTGTATACAAACTAGGAAATTAACAAACAAAAACTATACTTAGTGACAATCACGACTGCATCAGGATACACACATCCAACCCAAACCTTAAAAGCACAGAAATAAAGAGGGGAAAGACTGCTGTATTCCACCACACTTTTCTGTTGCCTAGGCACTGTTGATAACACACTCTGAAAGGCTTTCACTTCCACCTTCAGTGGGGAGAAAAACCCAAACCTCCTGTGCTTTAACATTAGCTACAAAACAAAGTTCAGCACTTACTTTCACACATTTCATGCATGTTAACTTATATTACCTTAACACTAGATTTGTTTACTTGATTGTGTTTGAGTGCATATCTAATGGTGATAGGCTGCTGTATTATCTTTCAGAAATGGCAGTGAAAGCCTTTGGAGTGTGCTACCAAACAGCATTGTAGGCAGTATGAAAGTGGAAATGAATATAGAAGTCCTTCCCTCTAACTTTATATTTCTATACTTTAGAGCGGGTGGATGGAGAGAGTGTAACCCAATGCAATCTTAAACAACACTAAATATAGCTCTGTCTGTTAATACTGGTTAGGTAAAATACCTATTAGATTCACCAAAATATTTCATTTTCTTCTCGGTGTGCAAAGAGATTGCTAGATTATGGCTTGAGCGTTACCCAAAGTTTCCAAAGTATTCTAACATCCCGACTGCTCTGGAGCAAAAACGCACTAGTTAGATCAGCTGGTAACTTGCAATAATGTGGATTACTATGCCTGGCAGACATTTAACTTCCAGTAAAAAAAGCACCATGTGCTGAAATTACTCTTATCTGATTTCTGGCTAAATGATTGTGCATGTTCAAAATCCAGTTAGTATAGAGACTGGAATAGATCTGGCTACAGTCTATGACCTCTAGTAGGAACTATCCAGCAACTTGGAGGGACTGGAGAGAAAGGAAAATAAATTATTTAGTTTAAAGCTGTATCGAGTATTTTGGAATTCCTTCTGTGAGGAAGACCAATTCTCAAGAAGTACTATTTCAATTAATCACAATGTGAAATTAATTTAGAGTAAGACAAAAACCACCCCAACTCACAGATGAAATAGGTTCATCCATGAACTTAGTTGGATATTCTTCCCAGATGGGCATTATCCTTTGTTCTCAGAGCTCCCAAAACCAGACCAGGCTTTTATTGTCCATTTGACCATATGATCATGTTCCAACTTCAGAAATTATTTTAAAGTGTTTTTCAGCCGGAATGTTTACAATGATTTTGACATTGAGTAGGAGTTGTCTGAAGTAGTACCTCAGAGAAGGAGTTTTCTGAGAAAAGCAGACATATCAGCTCTGGAGCTAAAAGGAGGTTTCATCACACCTTGTATCTCACATGACATTCTCTAGGTTGAGACTAGAAACTAAAGAATTAGAGCCTTTCTGGAATTCGTTACGCATCTGTGATGAACTTGCCTTTCAACACGAGGTAAAAATTGCAATTACACCTGCAATTGCTAATTTTACTTCCAAGAAACAATGGCCTCGAGATCTCCGATCAAACACGTTGTAAACATTCCCCCATGTCCTTTACTTCACAACTTTCCTCTAACGGGCCCCCTTCTGCAGTTCCAAAAATCTAAGCCCCATGATGGACGTGATTTGCAATATGTCGTAATTACCAGGATAATCTCCTGCTCAGAATCGGAAACACTATCTTTTAATCTCATTTTTATAACTGCCAATATAGATTAAATTGGGTATGCATTTAGGACAGTCAGTGTTCAACTATGTGTGTGCTCGGAGTTTGAAGGCAGCTCAATTACTCTGAATGAGGCCTGAGGGGTTCTTAAATGAACGATAGCTTTCACTTTTGAGAAGCTGCTTCTCACGTTTTTTCCCTGGACTTGGGTAACTCATCAACATACTTCCAACCTTTTATGCAACATATCATAAGGCAGTTGCTTTAAGCTGGATTCTTTTAAATCTACATATATTTTGGTGATTTGGTTGACACTGTGTTTTCTTCCTCATGCAAAAATCCCGAGAAAGCAAGCTTCTACCCACACAACCACAACAACTATTTTTCTATGCAGAGTTAAGGGGTTTTTTTGTACTTCTAAAGAATCACCTGCTGGAAATGAAGGTGCAATAATTTTCCTGCCTTCCCACCTCACGCTTCCAAGTAACAAAGTAATTTTAATCTCTTCTCAGTAGAAAGAAGGCTGATCTAAACTGGTGATAAGACACCCCAAAACCTTTAAAAACTACAACACACACACATTCATAGATGTATCCAGCAATTTTGTTTAGCTAGATTATGCAAACTTTGTTTTAACAAAAGAGAGATTTTATCCTTATATGTTTTCAAATAAGGATGTGGCAACAGTTTAAAAGACAGAGGATTACCAAGCGTATAGCTTAGACTCTGCACCTAAAGCCTTTCTTTTACATGTCCGAGTAGTGGATACCAGGTGTAAGAACACTGCGCAAACGAGGACAGGCACTTACTTCTTCACTTGACCAGGATGAGATGGTACAGTGAATACTTATGTAGAAGTCAGAGAAGTGAATATACTACTGAAAGAGCTTCTGGTGCACTAGAATTTAAGTTACCTCTAGGACTCTTCAGAACTGTATCTTCAGTAGATCAAGAATATGAAAACAGAGATCCTGAAGTTTTGAAAAAATGCTCTAATAACAAACTTGAGTTTCTGTTGACACTTCTGATACTTATTTCTTTATGGAATGACTTGTACGGATATCTGATTTTCTCAAGCTCTTCTTTTTCTTAAGTCTGCAGCATTCCTCTATGATTGTGCATCCTGAAGCAACTGTCTGATAGACTTGGGAAAACACACAAACTTAAGAAAATGTATTGGGCTGGACTGTTCCCCAGAAAATACTCTTAGACTTCCCACAAAAAGGAGAAATGGCCTTCTAGAGAGAAAATACTGCCCCTCCGTTTCTGTGGTGGTAGTAGCCTGGACAGAGCAGCCAAAAGATTCCTCGCTCAAAGTAAAGCAAAGGCAAACAAATTTTTACCTTAGTATAAGCAGTAGTAACTACTTTCTCTGCACTGCTAATTGCACAGCAACTGTAATTGTTGATGCAGGAAAAACAGTGACAGTTGCTGATTTTACACAGCACTTTGTTAGAAATTCAACTAATCCACAGATTAACACATAAGCCACAATAAAGGCAGAATCAAAATTCTGGGAGCTCTACCAAGGTTAGATTCAGTAACCATATCGTTCTCTCTATCTGACAAAAACATGATATTGGGTGGTAAAAGTAAAATCTTGACAGAGAAAGATGAAGCAAATACAACTGTAATAGACTTCTTTGCTCACAGTTCCATTTCCATCTTAGTTATATCCTTACTTTCCACCTTCATAAGTTCTGTTTTCTTGCCTACTCATTTCCTAATGTAAGCATCTCTGAATGTTAGATATCTCTGAAGTTAGATAAGCATTCACTCATAATTCCAGGAAGCTTAGCAGAGACTGAGTTACCTTCCACAAAAATATTAACTTTATTTCCTATGCTTTCTGAGATGAAGATGAAGACCTCATTCAAGGTACTAAGACTTTACACTGCCCCTTCAGCAGCTGAATGTTCTTTGTAAGGGAGAATGTATAACCAAAAGATTGCAAGCACCACCGGCAAAGCATATAATACTTTTTTTTTTTTTTAAACAATCTCCTGCAAGTCGTCTTCAAAAACAGAATTCCACCCCTTGGGTGGAAAGGGTTAACCACTTCATGCTCATTTTGATCATATAGAATGAATAATCCAGAGCCATCAGATACAAGACTAGGAAGTATCAAGCTGCCTTCCAAGGAAAAGGATATGGAAGAAAAGAAGTACTCCTTGGCCACTTTTGCCAATGTATTATGTGATTTAGCTTACTTCTGTGTGAACATGCACTGCTTCTGCCTGGTTACTAATGAGTGACACAAATATTTCTAATGCTTAATATTTCTGCTATTTATGTCTATTCCTCAAAGAATAGGTATCTCCAACTGAACTTCCACGCATCCTCTGCAATCTCTGAAAATACTCTCTGTATCCAGTGAGGGAGGAGAGCACTGAGAAACGTAACTTCAGAAGAATTAAATTTACATGAGGAGACTTTCATTCAACTGCCTTGATAGGAACCTTGCATATTTATCAGACAAAGCCTGGTTTCACTATAATCTGTCTTCCTCTGAGGAAGAGACGGTCAATCTCTCATTTATACCACCTAGAGACAAGTCCTGGCACTTCTTCCTGATGGCTGACACTTAAGTCCAGACTCACAACAAAGATGTGGTCTTTTGGAGGCCTAATTGTAAAGACTGACAGAAAGAAGCGAGACTTTCATTTGCTTCTGTGTACTATCACTTAACACAAAGGGATTACAAAATTTGCTATCATCAGGAAGGATGAATCCCAACACAGTATGTTAGATACCCTCCATTATTGTTCAGTTTAATAAAAAGCAATTTTAGATTTGGCGAGACATAACTACTTATATTAGTATTAGAATTATCTTAGGAATTCTAAGAAAATATAAACAGGAATAAAGAAAATATTTCACAATGTAGGTGTCCATATCTGGTGGTGAAATTAAGAAACTTGTAAAGTTATTTGATTCTCAAAGTTTGTAGCTTACTCCATTCTTACTTAAGAATTTCTGTATCTTAGTGATTGTCAAAGGCATGAAGCAAATTATTTAAAACAAGGTTTTCTTGAACTTAGCCTCATTTTGTCATTCTCCAGCATGACCACCTCTTCCCCCTTATAATGTATAGATGCTTATAAAATTAAATAACTTTCATTTGAATTTGAGAGATGACTGGGCCATTGAAATATTCTAATTATCCACAGAGCCTGTAATATACTTCTGCTTATATGTAATTGTAAGTCTGCGACTGTGTAGGCACACAAATATGCACTTTATACACTAAAAAAAAGTGTGTTGTCTAATGTTTGTTTCTTCTAGCCTGCAAGACAAAGATTATTGACCACAGCTGAAAAGGTTACCTGGATCTGGGCTCTGTTTCCAGCTGTTATATTAGATATTGTCCAACATGCTTCCTTTTTGATAGATTCTTTTGGGCTGCTTAGCAAGTGCAGTAAACTCTGCAGGGCTGAACAATTCAGAATTACCTGAATACAAAAGAAATAAAAATAAACAAACCACAACTTAGAGGAAGTTTAGAATAAGAATCACAGGAACACGGAATACAGTATGTTCAAAAATCTATAAATCATATCCCCATCAGATGACCCCAAGAAGTCAAGATAAAAAACCCAAACAACAAAAACTCAAAACAAAACAAAAAAGAGAGCAAGAACTAAGACATAAATGTTTGTATTTTATATGCAGGAAAGCTAATGAGCAAAACAACTGAGTAATGCAGATAAGAGATCATGCCTTCATCATGATTTCAGTGTGACCTGAACACAAAAAAATACTAAGCCCATTACAACCAAACAAAAATAAGATGACAAGATTTTCCTGTATTATTCTTTTTTATATTTTTGTATACTTGGAAGCTCCAACTACTTATGCTTTTTGCATCAGCTGGCACAGTGTGGGAGACTGTTGCCAGTGTTGTGTCCAATGAAATTATGAATGGGCAATTGTTATTAAAAAGTTGTTAAAAATTGCAACTGTACAGAGCAGAAAAGTTGCAGGAAAATCTGTATTTCCAAAATAAAGATTTTAAGTGTTTAAAGTAAAAGAGAAAACGCCCCAGAGCAGGTATGCTACAAAACAGAATACTTGACTATGAAATGTTTGATAGCGAAGGGCTTTTTAACCCTCTGAAAGGGCATAACAAGATTCAAATGAAAATTGAATTATTTTGAATGAATAATTAAATTGTGGTGTGGTTTGTTTTTTTTTTAATTGCAACTTCTTACAAGTAAATAAAAAATTGGAACAGCCTACAAAGCAGCATAGTGGTTTTGCCTTGTATGGCAAAAGCAGGCAGCTTAGAAAGACAGTGTGGTACAGAATTTTATGAGAAATTTTTTAGTCTGTTTGTGGAGGTCAAAAGGATGAGAGAGTCAAATTGAATCATGGTGATGACTTCTGGTCTTGGAATCTGAATTCCCTTGCTCATATCTCTCTCCCTCTCTCTGACTCCGCACAAATTCCCAAAACCTTTCCATTCCAAATTAAGATTTAAAAAAGCAAAGGTTATGATTCAGGATTTTATCAGATATCTACTGGGACAAGAAAGATTTATTTTTTCCTCACACATACTGTCTATAGTTTTGGCCATCTCCAAGCACTGGCAGTCGTTAACTGTTGGAAATGAGATACAAAGCAAAAGCAGGTTTGTGCTCTGAGGCTGTACAGAGAAGTTTTCAGGAAACAGTCTTGTACGTTGCTTGACTGTCAAAGCCGAGCTCTTCCTTCTACCTCACACACTCAATTAAGTATTTTTATATGTTTTCCGGACCCCTTTTTAGCAGACAGCACTATCTGCAGGCAGCACTACCGAAGTATCATACTTCAGCAGTTCTCTAGAATTTTAGGAATGCTTATAGTATGCTCCTCTTAAAAAAAACTGTGGGCAACAAAAACGTTTAACCATTTTCTTGAATTGAAATCTAAGAATTATGCAGTATTTAATGACCCACATTACATGTAATTTAGTGATCCTTTGTATTTTTATTTTTAATGAAACTATGAAATCACAAGATGCACCTTATTCTTATCACTGATCTACAAAACAAAAGCCACTGAGAAAAATACAACAGTCTATACAATTCAGCTACAGAAAATAGTGTGACAATCAAAAAAAATACCTCCATTAACCACCTCCAGTGCTAGTGATAAGATATTCAGTGTCCCGCTGCTGCTAACTCCTCTTTGTCTCTAATCTCATTGCCACAGAACTACAGCATTCCAAATGATACATTTATACAAATGAAAACAATAAGCATTGAAAGAAGCCTCAAGGTTAGGAACCTGGACTTTAACTTTGGCATAATTTACATGGAGGAAGTCTTTTAATGCTTCGAACGGGGAATCATATCACAATTAACAGAAAGATGAACTGCAGTACACCATAAGAGAAAGTCAATCCATACCTGGGTCTGGATATCATCTCCTGTGACGATGTTCCCAACAGCTCGTAAGGCAGGAGATACAACTTTGTAGTCATTGTGCCTAAAATTACCAAGGAAAGCATTAACCATCCTGAAGCATCTCCATCTTTACATCCACAAGGAAGGAACATCCATCAGCCAGGGGAAAACCTCCCTGCCAAACCTGACTTAACTCTATCTGCATCAAAACCCTCTTTGCTTTTAAACTAATGGTAAGTCTTTCTAGGGTTTCTAAATATTTAGGCCTTTAGATATCGTTCAGCAGCATAAAAATAAAATACAAGATTAAAAGAATACTTAAAAAAAGTACTTCAGAGAACAGGCATCATTGGGAGGGAAAAAATAATCAGCTTTAGCTATGAAACACACTTAATGTAGCACGCACAAAGGCAGAGAATGAGACAGAAGAACACTGATAGAAGCTGCGTGTTTAACTCAACTATGTCCCCATACAGCTGTTTGATCATCTTCCATCATCATATGCATCCCCTCTCCTGTACTGCATCCCCCCCATCCTCATTGTTAAATCAGGATTGGAATAAGAAGGATGAAAGAATTTTTTTCTCAATTGAAAACACTTAGGTAATATAATCTATTTGTTAATCCAGCATCAGATTTGCTTTAATCTTAAAAGCTTTAGTAGTCTTTTTTTATTTACATGACTGAAAAACATTATTCTTGTTTTTAGGCAACTCAATGCTCCACGTCCTTCCTTTAGACCTGAAGAAATGGCTCAGAACAAGGCCAGTCTCGCTGACTCCAACTCCCACAGCTACACTTTACTGACCAAAGTGTGCATATACTCTACTACAGTAAGGGTTCAGGAAATTATTTACATTTCAAGTCCCTGTTACTGTCAATTCTGCTAAGTTTTACTATTTCTTACACTTATATCTTTGATATCCTCTGGCAATTTAATTGGTAGATAATTATAACATGGACCTCAAATGGCACAGGGAAAATTCCAGTATATATCATCGATTTTACAAAAATGCAGCTGTTGGGTGCAGGAAAAATATCTCTTAAGAAATCGCAAAACTAGTACAAGAAAAGTTCCCTTGTTTCTGTTACACATGACAAACAGAGAAGACTGAACACAGGTGAAATTAAAACTCAAATCTTGCTTTTTGGAAATTACTACATTTCAAGGCATATCTAATTAAACTTCCTATTGCTGGAACCATGATTTTAGGGAAAAGAGCGGATAGTACATTTGCTCACAACAAATTTCTTACATCAGCAATTCCACAAGTCTTCTGCAGACTCCTGCATCAATCACAGCCTGGATTTTATCATTGGGACCATCAGACAAATAGGACAAAGCCCAGCAGGCATCAGCTAATACATCTGTATCATTGACAAAGAGCAGCCAGGAAAGCACACTAAGACAAGGTGAAACCTGTAAGACATTAAGAAGAGATACATACGCTGTGCAATTAGAAGGGCCAGAAGATCTATCAACACATCAGTTAATTTTCTATGTGATGTTATAGGATTAGGTACCGGCATCTCAAGGTTCAATACTCAAGAAAATTTCAGACCTAGTTAGCACTTCTGTGCAGGGCTGTAGCTACACAAGTATAGAGAAGCAAGTCAGCAGAAAAGTACTATGAGAATTCTTCAGCCTCTACCGTACGGTGTCTGGCAACTTAAACTCATGCTTGTCCACTAATATGTGCCACACTTTGCACTACAGCAGTAAAGATGTACAGTTTTGTTCTGCTGTGAGATGGCCGTCTCCAGTACAGGAACAGTATCAAAAAGCTAGGAGGCAATGACATTAAAACAGTCATTGTGTCTACCCAAATGACTAAATACATCCAAAAACTTCATCTGCAAAAAGCCTGTACGTAGTTCAGAAATTCTCTGGAACAATTTCTGCTGTTTAGTTTAAGTTTCACCACCCTTATTGCTCATTTGGATACCACCACCTCACAAAACTTTTCCTTTCAAACATCTTTTACCTTGGCAAAATCAGGAGGAGGATTTTTCCCTCTGCAGAGGTTGGACAGAGCCCATACAGCATTTCGGGTCATAGTGAGACGGTTCTGTTTTGAAAGTAATCTAAAACAAACCAACACAAAAAATCCAAGCTTTGCTTCTTAAAAATCCAAGCCAGGCAACCGCGTAAGGTCAACTGCCTGAATCGTTAAAATAAACTCAGGCCTACATTTTAACATACAACAGGGCAAAATATGCTAGATTTTTTTTCTATAAAAATACATCCTGAGGAAAATCATGCTTGATGGGTGGATGCCACACATGCTAGACACATGAATCCTAGTATCCTGACAAGAACAATAACCATTACATTGAAAATGTGTTGATTTAATTGCTTAGATACTGATGTGGCAGATTAACAGTTAAAAGGCACAGGAGCTGTGACAAAATTACTCTAAGTAGAAGGATGTGCAGGTAGTTTTGGAGAGTACTCTCTTCACTGAACTGCATTTTCATGTCAGTCTCGGACTATCAGCCCCACTTTCACACTTCTGTATGTTAACTAGCGAAGGAGAAGAAAGCATCCTCAGAAAACGCATATAACCAGGTTTAGGGTTTCCCAAACATTCAGGACCATCACATATCTCACCGCAAGCACCATTTACAGACTTCCTGTGCGCACTGGCTCCACTCCTGGCATATGAGAGCCTTGCACACTGGGTTCTTGTTAGAATACAATTCTACAAAACATCCCAAAGCAGTCTCTTCCTGCAGTTGTTAAGGGGTGGCATCCACACACCAACTGCAGGGTTCAGCTTCTGCTCAGTAAGACACAGGAAGCCCAACGATGTGATGAACTGCAATACACCTTCATGAAATCTGCATACCAAAACTGCCCTCTCACATTAAGACTATCACACTGACCAAAGCTGCATCAGCCACTAGTGTGCTGCGAGTCCCCTTAGGCGAGATCAATCCTAGCGCTGACAAAGATGTCTGTGGAGTTGGTTAATTAAGTCAAACAAGTGTGAAGCCTCTAAACAAGGCATTGTCCTGACATCTTAGAAAGGACTAGCCATAGTGCTCTTTGGCCTAAGAGGAATGCAGGAAGGCAAGACCTAGTTTTTTCACAACTATAACTCAGTTTCTTTTTCTTGTAGCCATCCCACACTGTACCAACGTCTTTATAAGAGCACTGGAAAACTCCACTGTGGCAAAGGGCTTGCAAAGGACAGAGACTGAGTAATCCTAATTTGTTTCAGCAATACTATGGTCCTTCAGCAGAGGACCATCAAGATAGTTAGCAGACTAGAAAAATAACGCACAACGGGAGGGTCAGAGACCTGGGTGTGTTCAGCCTCAGAAAGAGACTGTGTAAAGGGAGATCTAACTGCTGTCTACAAGTTTAACAGGTGGACACAGAAAAGAGGAAGCCAAATCCTTCTCAAAGATGCATAGTGACAGGACAAGAGGCAACTGTCACAAGGTAGAACATGGAAATTCTGATTAGGTATCAGAACATTGTTTTTCACCACACCATGGTCAAACACTGCAACAGGTTGCCCCAGGTGGTTATGGAATCTACCTTTGATGTTCCAAATTTGACAGATTAAGTAATTGAGCGATCTAATCTGATCTCACCTGCTACAAAGAGAGGGTTTGACTAGTTGACCTCCAGAGGTGCCTTTCAACTTAAATTATTCTATGACTCTATAAGCCCAGACATCCACCCACTCTGTAGATAAAATAGTTCCGGCTTAGCTGCTCCTAAACATGTTTCCATTTTAGCTCCATTACAAAACGTAGTTCAAGAGCCCCCATTAAGTCTGATTAGTCCACAATAAAAAACATGTTATTAACATTCAAGGCAGAAAACAAACTTCAGGCTTATCAAACACTCAAGCAAAATTCTGGAAAACATATTAAAACAGACTTACTGCAATAAAGGGGGCAGGATATTACAGTCCAATACATAGTCTCTGCACATAGTGCTGTCTCCAGCTATGTTGCCAAGAGCCCATACTGCCTGCAATGAAAAACAGAATAGTATTTGCTTTCATTCTCACAATTTAACCACTTCAGACTATGTATTAGAGTGGGAGATACTCTGTTTTCACTGTTAGATCCTGGACAATATGCAAAAGGGGAATGCATTCTGGTTTGAGTATTACACATACACACCCAAGCTCATTATATGATTCAGGAATATTTACGCAGATCTAAAAGGAATACCAAAACAGCCAACATGTATGTATCCAAAGACTTCACAGGCAGACATAACCTTGCCCTGTCCACAACATAAGAGATGAGCTTATCTTCTCAGGCTTAGTAACACATTAATTCTACGCTCTTCCTGGTTTAGAGTTGGTTCAAGTCCAGATGGTTCATAGCACAGGTCAAGCAAGTCTGTATCTACCCAAAAACATTTCTGTAGAACAGCCCGTATTAGTATTTCCTAAGATGCCATAAAAGCATGCGTTGTTTATGCAGTCATATTAAGAATGCTGACACCAAGATAGATGAAAATGAGACACTAAATGCAAGATAAACCAATATTCAGAATCAAAGAGTTCAGATGGGCATTGGCATATATTCTTTAACAGAAAACTATACTGATAGAGCCGGTATTGCCTATTAGACATATGCACGATAAAATGCAAGGACAGGTATCTTCTCCCTTGGACGTCAGTACTACTGTAACCCTTCATTTTAAGAGTAAAAGACCCAAAATACCAGAAGATAATTAAAGAAGCATGAAATCCACCTTCTGTAATACAATAAGAATGAAAGATTTGATTTGTTTTGACTTATATGTTTGGGTCAAGTGGTGGCTTTGATATTACTGTCCACTAGTATGAAAGCTATAACTGAAAAAAATTAAAAAGTAAGTCTATACAAAGTAAAAAAGTAATCTTATTAATTCCACATGATTTACAGACAACATTTTGTCACACAAAAGAGTGCATGAAACTCTTTAATTTGCTTTTAAGTTAGCAGAGGGCTAAATGTCGTATCAAAGAGATACCTGTATCTGCTTACTTGATAAGAGTCATACAATGTGTACGCAACACTGGAAATACTTCCAATACTGCACACAGAGGACAAAAGTAATCCTATTTATAATGGACAGCAGCTGAATGTCCCCCCTAAATTTCTCCTCAGTTGAAGACTATGTATTTATTTTCAGTAAAATGCGTAACAGTGCGTAAATATTTTCAGTTGGAGAAACAGTTAAGTTCCCCATACAAAAATAAACATATTTTTCTCTCTGTATCTCTACTTAAAGTAAATTACTCCGCTAAAAAATGGACAGAATAAGCCAAATTTGTTACCTAAAGGAAATTCTCAGATAATATGAAATAGGCTTATTTATTCATTATCAATATGAAGTCAATTGAATTGTTACATTAGATTTCTACTGTGGTATGTTTTTAAAAGGTGGCAAAAAACATGTTACTTTAAAAAAACATCCTTTAAAAATCTCCTCCAATCACTCTAGAGGGCCCAAAACACTAGCAAATATCTGCAAAATGAATACAGTTAAAACCAGATAACAAAATGTATATACAAAATGTAAATACAGAGGTCAGCTTGCCAGACAAAAAATAAAAACTCTCCTCCCCTGTACCAATATTACCAATAACACCATAAATAAATCAATAGATCAAAAGTCCCTAAACTACAAGTTAAGAGACTATGAGACTATTCTGAAGAAGGATTAGTTTGTTTTGTTCTGCTACTGTTTTCCAGGTTCCTGCTGTCAGCCACAGTCAGAGAGACAGACTATACTGACCTTTACTGTGAAACAGCACAGCAATTATTATTCTGTGGTGTCCCCCTTAAATTGATCCGCATCAAGAAAACGTATTTTTCATTCCCATTCTTATTATTTTACAAACTGTTGCAACAACAGTTTGCCTGAAATAAAAGTACAGCTTTGGATCTGGCAGCCTCATGGACTCAAGACTGAAAAGGCGGCTACTGGAAAAATTTAGCTTAAGAGAACATATGCCAGCTCCTGCAAAATGTCATTTGTATTAGAACTGTAATAAGTCATACTCATTGCGCGCTGCAAGGCTTGTATTTCTGCAGCAATGAAAAGCACAGGAAAGAATCAAAGACTTCATCCAGTTCTAAACAAACTTGTGGACAGTTTAAAAATGTTTAGGGGTGGAAAGTTAGAATTTGTAATAACTTCCTTTTGTTGAACATGTAGTAACTTTGTATGAAGACACGGTTTCCTTGTCTGGACATCCTTACACATGTTAAAACACCCCTGGAAGCTGGATTTCACTTGTCTGTGGACTTTGTTTCTGCCATCATAGTAGTATCTATTTTTAGGGTTGACAACAGTGATAATCACTTAATCCAGGAATCCATTCTGACCCTGAATGACAGACTGGCTTTGCAACAGCAAATCTCGCATCAAAAAGTCTGACCAGAGAAGTCAAATAGCATCTCTACAGCTTTCCCACGCTTCATTTTTTACTGCGAGAGAAGTCTGGCTGAGTAGTCTGGTATCACAGGACGTGGTAAGCAAGGATACTGCAAGAAATCCTTGTGATGCTAATGACTGACAGCACACAAGATGCAGAGAAATTTAAATATATTTGAAAAATACGCATAGTTTCATTCAACAAGGAAGATGTCTTTCCTTAAGGAACTATTTCAGCTCTTCAGACAAGTGAGGAATGTAAGTTAAAGCTCATTTAAACTCTTCTTGTCAGACACTGCTATAGATACAAAGCTTCATCATGGCTCCAACAGAGGACACGTGAGCAATCACGTGTCTTCAGAGTGTGTCTGAATAATGTTCAATGATTTCCAATGCTTCTTTTGTGCACTCCTCAAGATGCAAATGGCTTGCTTGACATAACATTTTAGCTTCATTCTACACATCCCATACATTATCATCTTCTTTTCTGGATTATGCAGAGGTAAAAGGATATTTAAATTCCAGTAAGTTTCAGAGTTTATTAAACAAAAAAACATTGCCTTTAAAAAAAATTCAATTTCAGTACTTTCCAACATCCACATGCAGACCTGAAGATGAAAAGAACCTCTGATTTTAAGATTTGTAGTACAACTTTTTAACCAACATCTTAGGTAGCAAAGTTGTGTGTAAACTGAAAATGCAAATGCTGCCTTGTTAATTGACAGCATCTATTTTTATACACCTGTATAAATATCCATTTATTGCTAGCAGTGAAGTAGGGATTGCTGCAGGTTTCCAGTTTATTTTACTTATTATTAAACCCCAGTGTTTTTTCCTGCAGTGCTGGACAACTTCAGTAGTCAATAACAGTAAAGTGCAAGTTTTCTAGAGTACTGGTGAGCCATACGGTGCCTTCTGTGAATAATCCATGTGCTTTCTGACAAGCCTCCACTTTCCCCTGGATTCTGAAGGCTCTCAGCCATTATTTCATTAGGCCTTTGGATACTTAAACCAAGTGCTAAACCAACCACCAACAGCGCCTAGAGTCTGTGCCTCTTGGTGGAGAAGAAATATTACGAAGTGAGAACCACCACTTTCTCTATTTTTGGCTGCCGACTTGGGAAATGGATCTAATGCTGGGATGAAGACTGAAGATTAGCTTGCATACAAGCGTGATTGGATTAGTGGACACACAGAAGGATACAGGAAGGGCAAATTCCTAGGACATGACTTCTACTATGCCCCAACACAGGAAACACCTTTCTTTCAGGGCAATCGTAGTTCCTTTCTCACATCTCATCCCCACAAACAGAGAAAGTAGCTCATACTCATGCCTCAACTGTTTTTCTTGAATTCATTCACTAAGACCTAGTTAGCAGGACTGCTGATGTAAAAGCCAAGCAGAACTTGGGACATCAGACTCACAGGTCACCTCTACCAAACAAATGATGGTTACCAACAGGAATAAAAAAATACAACCAGACATGGAAAAATACCGAGGGAAAAACACCTTGGTTGCTTTAGGTGAAAACACAATCGTTCCCAAAGAACAACAGAGCAGCTGGGAATGCTTCTGCCACCGGCTGTCCAGCAGAGCACAATGACACATATATATCACTGTGAGAAAATCTCAGCTGTCTCAGGGAGTGTAATGCCTTGCGTGGTTTTTAAAGGAAATCCAACATTCATCAGGAAACCCAAGTTGAGATCTGAGCTTTAAATACCTCAGCAAGGGCACTCAAGAGAGAACTACAGCTAGAACACCACTGAAGCTAGATCAACCTTAAGCATGTCTAAAAGGCTTTGACTGGAGTCCTGCAATATAAATAATTTCAGTCTGGCATTTCTAAGTTCCTAGATGTCTTTTTGGAAGAAAAAAATTGTGATAAGTGGAAGAAGGCTATGACATATGCCACTGATTAAATCTAAAAAACAGTACACCAAAACCAGAAACAAACAAAACAGATGTAGCCAACAAGTTTTTCAGGAATAATAGAGATGTAGCTTCTGTCAAACTCAGTTTCTTTGGCGGGAAAAATGGATGCCAAGTGGTTTGACCACTGACCACAGGGAATATCTGAGACAGACTGATACACAATGCAAATAATGAAAGAGAAGAGTTAAAGGATGGCAGGGTAATTAAATGTCAGCCTCTGTAGCTTAATGGGAAACAGATCTTGTAAAAAGACACAAAATATACTTTCATTAAAATACACGTTAATAAACATAGTTACAGAGATTCTCTCACACAGACTTCTATAAAACTATTGATTTAGGATCACACTAGAAACTGGCATACGCAAAAGAAACGGTGCAACATATTAGATTAAAACTGGCTTATAAATATGAAAAATAACTGTTGGGAAAATCATGATCGGATAAGGTAAACCAGCATCTGTTCCTGAGCCACTGCCAAGGGAAGTTTGAAATAAAAGACAAGTTCAACAATGTAAGTCTGTAAGACTTATTTATTGTAAGACAAAAACAGTGGATAACGATTAGCCAGTAAGTCAAATTAAAGTAATATTATTTTTTTAAGCTTATGCTATGATACATATCCAAAATTATATTACCACTTACATTTCCTTCTACAGAATTACTATCCCACTTAGAACAAAGAATGGCTTACTAAACACAGCCTTCTATATTTCTTTTTCTTTTCACCCTTTACTATATGGTTGTAGGGCTAACTTCTGGCCCATCTGTCCTGAACATGTAGTCCTATTTGCTATATTTTTCTGTATTTTTGTAATTTGTTACAAAAGTAGCAAGAGTTGCTTGCAAATAATAATCTTCATAGTACTACTGTGAGAGAAGATAAGAACCACCATTTTACAGGGGAGAAAATTAAGGCCAAATATCTTCCAGTTTCAGAAATCCAGCCTGAGAAGCCCAGATCTGCTCAAAACACAGACCTAACTACAAAAGTCACTTGTAAAAGTGCTGAGTCGCCCTCAACTACAAAACGAAATGCAAATATTTCCCATTGAGCCTTCAAAAGCCACAGAACTAGTATCTACTTACTGAAAACTGATATAAGCAAACTGTCCAGCATCAGACACTAAGCAGTAGATACCTTTATCTCAGAAATCTGCAACTGCCTTAATTGAAAGAATCTCTTCCCTTTTATCTCCTTCATTCACTACAATGTGTTCCAACTTTAACAAACAGGGCCACAGTGTGACAAATAAAAGCCTCCTTTACTACCTGCTGATTTGTGACGAGGGCAACAATCTGTACATATACTAAATGATATGAGTCATCTGGAAAAATACTATGCAATTGCGTACTAATGTCATCCTGTAATGCAGAAGTACAAGAGCTTACATTTAAGTGCTTAATGCTTTTAATTTTTGTTTTAGTAGATAGCATGGCAAAGTGTTTGGGTTTTTTTTTAAAGCTGTTGGAAAAAACAGTTTCTTTCATGCTGGCCTGCATTAAACCCAAAGTCAGCTACGAGCAGGGCTGCAACCTCCAGACCTGCAGCACAGAAACCCACCATGAAAAGGCGTAGGTAACACTTTGCAGTGGTACTTCTTCCTTCTCTACTACAGCTTACTACAGAGCAATTTGTAACTGGTATTTAGAGACTTCCTGGTAACAAATGGACCATAGATTCAGCACCTGAATTGCAAAGAAAAATATTTTGCGGTGGTTATAACCCACTCTGCCTGCATGCAATCTGAATTTTAACATGTCAGCAGTTTATTAGAAGGCAGAGGAAGACAGATAAACTACTTAACTGTGGCCCCTAAGCTCTTGTGTTAATTCACGCATCTTAAGGCTGAAGGCTGCACAACTCATTCTAAACAAGTTCACTCTTCCCACCTGCTCTCTGAACATCAGCAGGGATCACAACAACAACCTAATAAAAAAAAACAAGTTAGCTCTTGCACAGATGATCATTAGAAGGAAAAAAATGGAGCAACCCTTACCACACTCAGTGCACCAAACATATTGCAGGAACAGCACTGTATAAGTGATGGCTGAATTTGGAAAGTAATGCCACCAGTTTCAATACAAAAAAAAACCCCAAAATCTAAAAAGCATTATATAGCTAAGTCTGGATGGATTTTCACATGAGCAGAACATGGCATCTATCTGCCATTTTGGCAAGCTCCCTATCACATTTCTAAAGCTAAAGAAAGCTAAAAAAATGGACACCCCCCCTTATTTCCTCTAATAAAATTTTCTCAAGCACTTGAATTAAATTTCTCCAAAAAAAAAAAAAACCTTTTCCAAAATAATTCAGCCAGAGATAGGCCATTGAAAATGGGAAGTTGCAGAGCAGAAGAACTAGAAAGCTATAAGCAACTGAAAAAAACCCCATCTGTTTGTCTTGTGGAAAATGTTAGGCAACCTTAAGTACAGGTGGCACATTCTGAGCCAGCTATAAGAGAGAAAGGCAAGTTACACAAAGCAATCCAATGCTTATGCGTCGGGACTCCTCCAATCATGCATCTCAATACAGCCAAATGCAAGGTCAGACATCTAGGAACAGAGAATAGAGGTCACACTTACAGGATGGAGGACTGAACCCTGGAAGTCAGTGACTCTGAAAAGAACAATGGATCATATTGGATAATCAGCTTAACCTGAGCTTGCAGCCAGCTTCTGTGGCAAAGAGTCCACAAAGACATCTTGGATATTTACACAACAAAGCAGCAAGTAGAAATGAAAGTGAGGTACTATCTCTGCAAACAGCATTGCTGGAACAGTGCTACTGGAATATCCAATGCTTGTAATTTCACCACCACAAAAAGATATTGAAACAAAGAAACCTTCAGAGAACAGTCGCCAAAAACCAAACCAACCACCACAGAAATACCCTCACAATGAGAATTCAGAGCTTAATTTCATTTCCTCAAGGAAAGCTTAAGCTATGGTCTGTAAGTAGTAAAGGAAAAAACAGAGAGCTTACTAATTGAGTAGATGACAAAACAAATGCAAATACCTGGACCCAAAGCTAGTCAAATTTATACAGTAAAGGTACATACTTTCAAGTAAGGATTAAGATTAACTGAAAATCTATTTGTTAACATGATTATCCTAAATCTTCAAAGCAAGATTATATGTCTGAAATACATCCTTGTTCAAACACAAGTTATGGACCTCATGCAGAAATTACTGAGTCAAACGTTTGGTCTGTGCTTTACACTGATGCCTTTGGGCCCTAAAGAATATTCATCTACTCTGTAAGGAATGTAGAGAACAAACCGTAATTGCCACTCATGGTTTATCTTCGGGAGAAACAAGCATGAACTTTCCATCTCTAAAGCAATTTTTTAAACAAGGCTTCCTGAGTTCCTCAATACACAGAGAAATATTCACCCATTAGACATCAAAATGCATTACCACATTGGCTATGGTCAAGTATATAATTTCCAGAAAAAGAAAAATACAATACTTGCTTAGACATCTTAACACATAGTAGGTAGAAATGGACTGTTGTACAAAACTGTCAAACACTACACTTCCTCTAAAGGCTTTCTTACAGGATAGCCTTGTTCTTTTCTGTGAAAGGAAAACAAAACCAAAACAAACAAAAAAACCACCAACCCCACAATCCACCACATATACACACAAAAAGCACACCACCGTTCTTAATCTTTACCTGTTCCTGTACATCTTCAAACTCTGAACTAAGCAGCTCTATGAAGATGGGGACGGCTCCTGCTTGGATCACTATCCGAGTCTGAAGTGAATTTCCCGAGGCAATATTTGTCAGCACCCACGCAGCTTCAAACTGGAAAACGAAATACAAAAGAAAGTTTACTAGGAGCCTTCTGTGCCACTCCAAAAATGAAGACTAAATGTCTTTTAAAGACAGAAAGAATTGGTGTAGGGACAGCATGAGATACTACTAATTAACATAGACAATTTGCAAAGTAAGAATCAGAATCATACAGTTAAGAGTTATTGATATCACTCAAAATCAAAATTGCAGAAGTTCCTTAAGAGAACAATTTCAGGTTTGCTGTGGCTTTTCAAGTATTATTTTTTCCTATGCAATTATATTACCTTGGGTCTGGTTTACTGCCTTTCCTTACTGAGAACCTCTACAGAAAAAATTATTCTTTCCACAAGACATCCGATACCTGCATTCACTGAATCAGCAATGATATTCCTGAAGATGCATGAATAGATACTGTTTGACAAAACTTTTTGGATATAAAGCAAATAAAAGCCATTTAAAAAAACAAACAAACAAATAAAAAAACCCACAAACACTCCAAAATAAAAAAAAGAAAGGAGATTAAAAAAAAAGAAAAAAACAACAAAAAAATCCAAACAAAAAAACTTTTGTGATCACAAACTGGTAGAACTCTGCAACTACAGCAAAGTACTCTGCAACTACAGTACAAAGTACTCTCCAACTCTGGTGATCAGTATTGCTGCCAAGAGTTATTAGTCTACAATGTTTTTATTCAAGACTTGAAGCAAACTGAGGTCTTGAATCAACACTACACATCTTGTGATTTACCTTCTTTTGTAATTTATTTTTCTTTTAATCTCAATGTGCAAAAGCATTAAGTTTTTAAGCTGAAATGCAAATTTTAACACTTCCCAATACAGATCTCAGAAAATATAGATTCCAGAAATCTAGACTTTTGGTAAATTTCTGCATGCTTTTCAGTCCAAAAATTATTACACTACACTAGCAAACATAAATCCTGTGAGATAAATCCAGAACCTAGAGAACAAAAAGACCGCTAAAAGTTGAAAAAGCAAAAATCAAGGAACAATAAAAATGGAAAGCTGCATGCTACAAACAACCAATTTTGACATTAGTAATGAATTTTATTACACTGATGTTGATCCAGCAGTATTCCAGTGAAAATCCTGATATACTTTCTAAGACTAGCTATCTCTGAACAGCAGCAAGGAACTGTATTTCAATTTTATCATAAAAGTAACTCCTACTAAGCAGATGCACAGAATCCTGAAATGGGCCTGAAATAAGAACTCAAATATTGAGCCTATCTTTAAGGCTTTTAATATTTAAGTGTTAATTATTAAGACTTCAGTTTTAAAAATACAATTAATCCTGCCCTGCTGACCAACTACAGGAGAAATTATCTTCTAGTAAGATGTGATCAGAATAAATGATTCCAAAATACACTGTTGTATAAAGAGTATGGGCTGCAATAAAGCAGAAACACACAATGTCAAAACTGCAAGACACATCGTTAATGAACTAGAAGCAAAACGTTCAGGACAGAGCTTAAGGCCAACATAAAATGTACTTGCTTTCCTGTAATTTTACTTTCTCTGAAGTGAGTATCCAGTGTTTTGCGATACGGTGTAGCAGGATGATTAGTCATCTTTCAACTACAGAGGTTTCTTACTCATATGTTAGAGCTCGCCCTTGGCTTCCTAATGGACACCATCAGGTTGAACTATTCACAACTCAGACTCACATTCTCACCAGTCATATGCCCATAATAGAGAAGAAACACTGTATAAACAGATTAATCAATTTAAGACCAAATAGCAGGTACCTCTCGTTGCTCAAACCTGTACTTCAACTACTTATAAAATAAGTTTTGATTATGAGCTAATCATAAGATCTCCCCATCTTTTGTGGAACAGAGTTCTGTTAAACTGAGCTCTTCCCAACATCTGACTAGAATCAAGGGAGAATTAGATGACGCCTTTGTGTGAGCACCACTTAACATTTCAGATGGCATAAGTTACAGAAACGTTCGCTGAGTGGCAGTTTCTCTCCTCCCTCTCCACCGTGGACATCTGATGCTCTAGGATGTATCAACTAAGGAACAGCCGCATGCAAAGGGCAAAGGATAGAAAAACAAAATACTTTATGATAATTAAAGTTAATTAACAGGAAGAAATCTCATCCTTTGGATGATCTTGGTGTCCATTTGGTATTGTTCTTTTTTAAGACTTCTCTCTCCATCACAGAAAGATTTTGCACATGAGACAAATTTACTTGTTCACGTATGATTTAAGTGATCATGGAGAAGAGGGGAGCTTTTTTTAAGTCTTGAAATCGCTTGAGGAAAAACAAAAAGAGAGGAAGCACAGCTAATGAAGCAAACCACTGATTTTTTTTCTACCTAATTTGCATCACCAAATGCCTTCATAATATAGGAAAATAGATACATTTATATTTGTATACCTGTAATGTACAGTTTTCTTTTCGTTTGAGGAACTCCACAAACCTGGCCACAACTCCTGGTGTGCTTATGACTTCATCTATTGGGGGATTTGGTTCTATTTAAAATAAAAAGCAAAGTTAGAAATATTAATTTTTTTAGGGAAATTTTCAAAATTACTGCCTCAAAATAAAATCCAATGACATACCAACTCCTCTTTTCTGAGAGCATGTTCTTTTTCCACAATACTGCTTTACCTTATCAAAAGGCAAAGGATTCCTGTATGTCGCCATAACTCCTGCTTGAATTCTGAGGTAATGAGGTAACATGACTTAAAACACTAACGCACCCAGTAATTTAGGCAGACCAATTTCACAGCAGCTGTTCCGTGAAGTTGCTCTGGTGTGCACACATGCAGAATTCAACTCCAGTAAATCAGCACACTTGAGCCATAAAGACACTGTTTACCATATTTAAACTTACATTACAGAGCAGAGAGACATCACACACCCCTTAGTACTTTTACAGATTTCAAGAACAGAAGTGACTATTACATACACCTAGCTGACATTCTGCAAAACAGAGCTTCATCCAGAAATTTCTGTATGAAATTCAATCTTCATTGCTGTCAAAGTAAAAACATATGCCAGAGACACTTCTACATTTTTCTCCAAGGAATTTAAGCTGCTTACCTTTAGAAAGAAGCTTTCGGAATTTTTGTGTGGCTGAAAGCTGCTGTTCTGGACTATTGGAGAAAATCATCTCAATCATATCGGAGGTGATGACTGCACTCTAGGATTCAGGTGGGGGAGACAGAGTAAGAGTAATAGAGAGCAAGAGGAAAAAGAAAATCTGGGATTAGTGGTAAAAAGGATACTACATTTGCTAAACCAGTATTAACTTTATCTCTTATTGAGTAAAAACCTGGACAAGACCAGTATGGACAGCAAATGAGTCATTATACATGTACATCTACATAAGCATCATCATTCTTGAGTGCAGTCTTCTCTGGAAGCCAAAGTTTAAATTTTACCTAAACTATGGCAAGAAAATTACTCTTCAGAAACTCTCACTGGTATTCTCTCCCCTTTTTTTCCTCTCTCCTCTAAAATAAATGTAAAATTGTCAGCTTCAACAAAAGGTAGTTTAAATTGGAATACCAATTACTGTTATGCAAGAACACCACTTTGATTATGCTACTGTTTAGATTTCTGCAACGTGTACATTTTGAGTCATTCTCTTACACCAAAATGTACAGGACCTGTCATTTTCAGGAGAGTTGACAAACCTAATGCTTGTCATCATAATCAGAGTCTTAAATTTTCCATAATACCAACGGCTTCCACTAATACAGCTAAATTAAATCAGCGACCTTTCTTATACCAGGTAAAATCTCACATTCTGTTCATCACACATGTAAATCCATGTAAAGAAGCATAAGAAAAGTCAGATTTTTTTTTTCTTCTACTTCTGATCTAAATCCTTAGATAGATCTGATCCAAATCCTTAGACAGATGACAATGCTGAAAATATTTAAGCTATGTTTGTAACAGCTCTCTAACAGCTCCAACTTTTGCGACCCTGAAATTAATGATATCTAAAATAATAAACTATGTAATGGTAGTACCTATCTCAATTAGGTAGGCTCCTTGCCTTACTTTTTAACCATCTATTCATTTCATAAAAGCTTCCACACAAATGACTAAATGGGATTTAGGAATTGTCTGATGTTTAAAGACTATCTTAAAGAGTAAAATAATATATTCTATTAGTGATCTACCACATTGTTTATAGGCATTTCTCAGTAATTTCAAGGCAGATATAACCACAAACAGAAACCAAACCCAGATTGATTTCTATGAAAACATCATTTGCATACTCTTGAATACAGGCACAAGCATGAAAATCAGTGGTCAGACTTTGAGGACTGCATTCTCCTTTACCCTCTCTGTTACAACCCGCATCCCTTACCATTTTTCTTTCCAGGGAGAGAACTGTGGTACAGAAACAAGAAGAAAGTAGAAAAGCCTAATTTCCACTAAGCATTTTTTTTGTAGGATGAAATTCCAGCTTGGAATGGAGTTCAAGGACATGTGCAGATAGACAAGCTAGGTCTAGCTGTGTTTCCAATGCCCTGGCTAAAAACGGTGCCACTTGGAAGTCAGCTAACAGAGATCTCCACCCAGCCACTTTTTTACTTTGTAAATTGCAATAACACATTGCCTGGCTTGTATTTTCATGTTCCAAGCATTATGAAATACAGATTAAAAAACCCCAACAACTCTGGGCAACAGTTGATAAAATCATCCATAATGGTAAACATCAAAAAAGGGAAGTAATCGGCCTGCATGGAACAATAATATTTTATTTAATTTTCTTGAAAGCATATCCACTGAGCAACTTCTCACTCAATCCATAACATTTCTCTCTCATGTATTCTGTTTCAGGCCAGTTCACTGAGACAGGTGTTTAAGAGCTGTCCATAAGCTCTTTGAATGTATTCCTTTCTCATCACTTACAGAAGTCATCTCCATGTTGTTCATCTGAGCCTCATGGAAGCCACCATCTGACATCACTTCCTCCTCTGCTTCTTCCTCAGCTGTTGCAACATTTCGACGTTTAAACAACTAAAGAGAGAAAGTATTTAATATATATTATATAGCAAATATATATACAGCATGTCATGTTAGGCTGCAATAAAAATGACATACACTATCACCTGAAAGAAGCTAGTATATTGGCTACAGAACTCCTCCTGACATCAAATGGAGAAAGTTTAGTCATGGAGTAAATGAAAACAGGAATGTGCTAGAATACTGGTTCCCAACATTTCTGAGAAATCCTCACTATTATTCCCTTCTCTTCATCGCCATCCCCCTCCAACTATGAGCTGTCTCTAGCTTCCAGACAACTTACTTACATCTGAGTGGCAGAGGATACTGGGGCTCAAAGATCTGAGAAACTGCTGTGTATAATAAACCTTTGTAGAAACCTGCAGAGGCTGGGGTAATTGAGTTACTGTGGTAAAGAGAAGATTTTGGAGGATTATCACATGGGATTGGTCAGATTGGTCTAAAAAAAAAATTATACTGAGATGAACAGAATTGGTCGCTACAACTTAAGAGACAGTACCCAGTTTGAGATGTCATGAGGAGAGACACAACTCTCCCCTTAATCCAGTTTTGCATCATTGGCAGAAACATTAGCAATGCTAAGATGGGTTTGGGAGTCCTGCTTGGCCTGTTGAGTTCCGGAAACAAGACTCCAGCATTGAGCCATGTCAGATTTGCACCACTGCAGACACGAAAGACAGAAACAGACCTGCTGTTACTCTTGTCTCCAGAGAAGATGGGGAGGAAACAGCATGCAAAACTGCTAGTCTATACCACCCTGACATCAGTGATAGGCATCCTTGTGGAATGCTATTCCTTCTAAACTCAACAGACATGCTCAAATACAGTCTTAAACCAAAATTTATATGTTGGCAATACATGTGAAAATTCAGAGGCTTGAGGTTGTTTTTGTGGGGTTATTCAGCTTAAAAAAAAAAAAAAACCCCTAGGAATTTAAACTTCTATGACCTATGTGCCAAATACATAAAAGAGAAGAACCTGCACAAGGTCTGAAATTGCAGAGCTGCAGACTGTCTTGCAGCTCCACTTTTATTCCACTGTTAGGACTAACAGTTTTCCTTAACGGGAGGAAATACTGCTGTACACTTTATTTAGCCAACCTGTAGGAACCAGATCCAAGGGAGATCAGATGCACAGATAAGAGAAAAAAATGACTCATCATTTTCCTAATTTAGTAATGGCTTTACAAATAAGATCAACGACATTCTGTGCTGCCAGTAGCCTGGAAGTGCTACCCGCAGTTACTGAGCAAAAATCAACAAGAAATACTGCAATTCCCTCTCAGAACTCTCCCCTGACTTTCCTTGAAAGCATCTGGTATTGACACTGTGAAAACAATGTTGAACAGAACAGATTACAGACTTGACCTACCATTCCAAACACAAGCATATTACTATCTTCGTAACTCCAGAAACCTCAACATTGATGAAAAAGGCTTATTATTACTTTCTTTGAAATTTAACTAATCCCTTAAAGCTTCCAAAGAACACAGCTAAGAACAAAAGGAAGAACTGTTCAGTGCTACCTGGTTTTAATCAGAAGATGGTTTTCATCATGTCTTATCACTGCTGCTGTTTCCTGATTAAACCTGCAGAACACCTGCCATGTTGCAAGGTGAATGAAGTAGTGAAAACTAGAAAGACACGAGCAGGTAGAGAAGCTTCGTTTCCAAGTATTTTTCTCAGTCATTTTGCTTCCAACGTATACTAAATCCACTACTCAAGGTACCAGCCTTAAGGGCATAAACATAGCATGAATTTTTGCAAATTCATAAATGAACTGAACCACAGATAGAAAATTGAAAATCACGTCAACAAATTATTTCTTCCCTCAAGAAAATCATCACTGTAACTTATAAGGACTTGGTCAGACCTTCTCCTCCTTCTGCTCTAGCTGCAACATTTCCTTTCATTTCACCCCAGCTTGCCACTCTCTGAACAGAGATTAGAGCCACCACAACTCCGGTAGCAAAATAAAAATAAAAATCAAAACAACCCCAAACCTCAATCACCTTCAGTGCAAGGTCAGAGAGCTTTGTTCAAATAATCTTTAAGCTGCTCTGGCCAATCTTACACTTTAGAAAGTGTGGAGCACTCAGTCACAGTTTTGTACCACCTGATGAAGAGGCAATAAAATCTGCAAGTGACTCTTGATTTCAGACTATGTATGAATCTGGCAGGGCAGGCACAACTAAGAAGGAGCTTCGGAGAAGCAAAGAGCTAGAGATAGTGTCAGACAAGACTGTTTAAGGACTGGTTACCGTTATCGTAACTGTAGTACAGTACCTGCTCCTCTCTCTTTTGCTTCCGCAGCTGAAGACCCTCTTCCTCCCGCCTGCGACGCATCTCGTCAGGGTTTAAAGATTTGTTCTTGTAGCTCTTCAGCCGGAAATTCTCTTTTCCTGAGGTCGTCATGATTCCTTTACAATGCAATTAAAAAGAGAAGTCAGAAAACAACTACTCTTCAACAAGACATAATTTTATATTCTGTCTTCATCTCTTAATATCTGTACCATGCACGTCCAGCCACAGTCCCCCTACATCCCGTCACGTAACTTCCATTAACTTAGAAAGCGTAAAGCAAAATTTCACAGAATTGTCACTTCAGTGTGCCAGTTGTTCACATGAGACCGACAAACATTCATTTTTCTCTCCGAGGCTTCAAAACACAAATACGTTAAATATTTTATCAAGAGAGAACTGAGATCTATAAAGCAGAGGACTAAAAAGAAAGAAAAAAAAAAGAAAGCTGTACTAATAAATCTTTACATTTCTCCATACAAGGAATTAGCCAAACTAACTGTATTTCCCTGTTTTCACTTTTGAGCTAAGGGGTCTTAGGCTGCTTTTTAGCTTAACTCATTTTGCAAGTGAGTACAGGGGCTTTTCTGCACACCAAACCCACATTTTAAGTTAATTCAACACCACCCTGCATTCCTTCTACCCAGACGAGAACTGAAAATGAAATGGAGAGAAAAAATTTAGTTGGGGATGATTTAACAACCAAAAATGCTCACTCCTGCAAAGAAAGCAGTGCTATTCTTCCCCTCCTTCCCACCGTCAGCCTCTAATCCTGCCATTGTTTATGCAGAGGGGCCTTTTTTCAGTCTATGATTTCTAAGTACTGTCTTATGTAACTCAGTGGATCGGCATTTGTATCTACCCATGATGATTTTAACATGTATAATGCTGCACTTTGGAGTTACTTAGCATAAATCAATAGGTATAGAACTGTGTGGAAAGGCTATTCCCCCTTAAACCAATGGGCTGTGGATCAGGTCTCTACTCTTAGTGCTCCATTCTGCTGCTTTAAATCCAAAAATAGTTGGGAACCAAATTCTAAACATCTTGGTATTTCCATGCATCTTCATACAGATGCACAACCTCCAATATGTTGTAAATATCTACAACTCTGTAATAAAAAAAATAGGAAACTATGCTATATAAAATGTTATCTACAGGGCCTTTAAACGTCTCTTTCAAATGCCCTAATGTGTTGTATTAAATATGCTACCTACCTCAAATTCCACAAGCACAGAATCACCAGGCGATAAATGATCTCCCGTGCACTTTTTACTTTAAAATGGAGCAACACAAGTGTATACAGACTCTCAACAGCTTAGGTTTCCTATGTAAAATACATCAAATGTATAATTGAGTCTACTATAACCTCCTCTTCTTTCAGTTAGCACAAAGAGTTTTAAGAGATTTTAAAAAAAAGAGGATGCTTAAATGTGCTTCTTATTAGAGCCTCTTTTTAAGTTGCTGCTACCTGACAACTGTTTTTAAGAATTCTGATGATCAGAACTGACTTTCACAGAAGACATTTCAGGCATCACTTCAAGCATTACTGTATTCTGTCAACCGAGATTTAAAAAACTGTTAGGGGACGTAAAACTACTGTATTCAAGATCAGTCACAGATTGCCCTGAATGCAACATAAAAACCTGAGCATACAGGTAAGTAATTCAGCAGCCTAGTGCTGCTGAAAAGGCTCTTCCCAAAAGGGCTTTTTTTAAAATAAAGGTCCTACAAAAAGATAAATCTCAGAATGCCAGAAGTTCCCTACCTCATTCTTAACAGCTTAGAGACCCTTTTCTTCCTGTGTGTAAGTGTCCGAGCTTAAAGTGTTCATGGTTCTTGCAATATGCTTGGCAATAACATTTTCTTCCCGCTTTTAGTTTAAGTGACTACTACCTATACATTAAACATACAAAATATCTGGGGAAGCCCTGGATTTTAACTGTAAAAAGGAGTTCAGGCTAACAAATACTCAGAGTACAGAACCTCTCTTGTTTCTAAAACATTTTGAAAGAAATATTTGATATATTTTAGAATTAAGAAAATGAACTTAAACACCAGATGGACAACCATGAGCTAAAAGGACATGCCTAATAGGAAAAGAGCTTTGCAGCTACTCTAGTCAATCCACCCTTGAGCATGAACAAACACGGGCATACACAACAGCCCAGGTAAGATCTCAGGCCTTCCAGGACATTATTCGTAATTCTCCATTTTTATCTGAAATACATCTTCTCAAACTTACAAAATTACATTTGCTTTTATTCGGGATTTCAGGACTTCAGTAGCTCTTGTGATCATTTCATACCATCACTTTCAATCCCTGAAAGTTCTTAGTTTAAAGAAATCCTTGACAGTGAACATCTTTACTTATTACACAATTTCACCTCACTTCTACTATGTAGCCCCTCCATTTCAATGTTTCTAAAGAATGATACCATCCAACTTCATCATCAGCAAGTTTCCTTAGCATATTCTTCCTTATTGTACTTATTTGCTTAGTTTCCTCTCATCTCCCGACTTCTGTATTAATTTATTTCCTTAAACTCAGAAGCAAAACTAAAAGGATTGTCAATTCCCTCTCAGAGCTCTATTTGCCCTCTCCCATTATGTTCTATATCATCATTTCACTTACTGAAAATACGGGTACAACATTTACCAATTTCTTATTTAAATTCTGACTACCTCAACCCCTCACATTTTTCTCATTATCTTTATTTTTATAACTTAAGAATTATCTTCTACTTTACAAGCTTTAACTGTAACTTTTGGCTATGCTCATTCCTGACTTTCAAGACGGCTCACTTTGCTGACAAACCCCCTCTTCTATTTTCTGAGTAATCCGTACACTTAAAATCTTTTCAAAATAGTGTATTGTGTACACCGGGAGTAAAGCCTTCCTACAAATTCCTACCACCAAATGATTAGGAAGACAAAGCTCCTTCTATTAAAGGTGGAAAAAACTTAAGCTCCCTTCACCATTGAGAAGTTACTGAATTACATTATTGAACTCGTTACTAGTTGATTTCATAGTAGTCCCTCGCTGGTAGTAAATAAACAAAACCCCAACACACAGGCAGCTATATAAAGTGGACATGTGGCTATCTAACCTGCATAACTATTAAATCCAAAGCTGTTTTCTAAAAACAGCTTTTGTAATATCCTCAATATCTCCTAAAATAAATTCTTTCTTTATCATTCTTTTACTGGATCCCTGACTACTGGTGAAAAATTCAATGACCACATCAAGGATTTCATCCAGCCCACACCTACTGCTAGCATCTTTAGACCTGTTCAGTGTGAGCACACAAATAATTTTAAGACTGAAAATAAAACAATCCTGTGTTAGTTGCTGCAGTCATCCAAGGACTGTTTCCTATAAATCTCCTTTTCCATTTTGCGGGATGTTAATCTTTCCCCCAGACTAAATGACAGAGGCAAAACAACTTCAACTTGCCTCTCAGTCATCTTCAGCAGCTTTGTTGTGGCTTAACTGAAAATCTTTCAATGGTCACTTCAAATTCACCCATGGTAATTTCTTCACAGCAGATAGTAAACCCTGAATCTTCTCTGCACTATCAAAATTAATGCTACTTTTGGTGAAATTCTGTGGTGGTTGTCATGGAAATGTTCTACCCATCTTTTCTTTCCTAAAGATAGCATAATATTTTCAGTATTTTTCGATGCTCCCATCAACAGATAAAACCTCTGGCGACCCAGTGAGGAGTCTTCATAATGTATTCTTTGGGCTTTTCTGCAGCACCACTCAAACCCCATATGACACTTTCTCCTCCTTAGTCTGACTGCCACAAAAAAATGATTTTTAGTAAAATTAACAACCCCATCTATTCCTAAACATCTGCATTTCACTAAGGAAATTATGATCCCCATATTTTTTGCTAATCAAGACAAGTACCCTGCCAAATGTGGTTGTGTTCTAAGCACACGTTTCTAGGAGAAAGGAAAAGTACTGCATTTCTCCTTGCTCATCAAGTCAAAGAAATTCAGAAGCACTGGGAAACGCAGAGTCACTTACTGAGATGACCTACCTTGTCCCAAGCAATCATCAGGATAAGAACAAAAACAAACTCCCTGCCTTCTTAAATCAGATACCACTGTCACTAGACTTAAGGGCTTTGCTAGAAGGAATGCCATGTGACTAATACTCTTGGATATTCCACAGTACAGCTATCCAGATATAAAAATAAAGGCCTTACAAATCAAGACGTGCATAATGGTATATATAACCAAGATAACTGAAGCTAAGATTACCATATACACTGCTGATATTAAAGCCTGTTAGAGACAAAGTTTCCTTCTTTGGAATTAAGGGTGGGAATAAGAAAAAAAAACCCCACGTATTTCAAAAGTGTACACCTGAACAAGAAATTCTACATTTCTAATTGAAATATATCAGAAGAGGAAGACTTCAAAATGAAGGTGGACAAGGAGTTCAAAGAGAAACGGTGTAACTGATTAAAAGTTATCTTGAAGATCCATAATTTGACGTACTACCAGTCTACATTTCCTAACTAACAGAGGCAGTTGTCAGAAGGAAAGGACTCACTAGAGGCATACTTCTGAGCTCTACTATACTGTCAAACTGCTGTCTCTCCTTTAGATTGCTGCCAGAGAGACAGTGAAAAGATACGAGAGGCACTGTCGGCCCTGAAAGGACAATCTGTGTTAGAAACGGCACTGTCAAGACAGAACTCCAAGCAGTGAGAGAAGCTGGAATTATTCAAGGTAAGAAATGGTTCAGGTATACTACAAAACCTTTACTTCCATGGAGATTTTGTTGTTGTTGTTGGTTCTGCCGTATGACTCTAGACCTCCTAGAGAATTAAAGTTTCCTCACAATCATGCTTCTTGATATCACACCAAATACCAACAGCACAGCCTGGACAGATGTTTGAGCAATCCACTGACCTCTGATTACAGGATGCATCATCTTCTGACACTCTCAGTGAGAGATTAGAAAACCCATCCAATTTAAAAAACTACCCTGAAAGCAGCACTTGGTCATTCATTTCTCTCATCAACACACTCCCTACAAATCCAGTCTTTTGGCCACAAACGTGCTTGTTTCTCCCCCCTCCTCCCATGAAATGTAGA